GAATCACTCTCAATCATGACACACTCGCTTTATATCACAGCGCAGGAACAGAGAGAGAGAGAGACCGCAATATTCACTCTGACCACCGCAGTACAAGAAGATGTAAAGAAATTAACAAATAATAACCAATATAAACTCATAATCAGACTAACCAGCAACAGCAAACAACAGGTAAAGTAAATGTGCTTGAAAGCGAATGTTAAAATGCAAAAAATTCCATTGGTCCAACAAACCGTTTCTTTAAAAACATGAAATAAAATTAATAATATATAATAATTTATTTTCTATTTTTTTTTAATTAAATTGTATAAATTATTTATAAAAACATGCAACATATACATATACATATATATATATATACACACTATATTTTCTGCAAGCTTTTTTCAAGATACATTTAGATGACTTTCCAAAAAAGGACACTTAGAAACTCCAAAAGGACACCAAATAACCAAATGATATAAGGAGCCCATATCAGAATTGTATAGTATGTGTACAGTGCAACAGCAAAGAGCTTTTTTACATTTTAGAGAAGTCAAGTTGCGATACCGAACAGGACCACATAGAGATGCCAAAAAAAACCCCAAACCAACCACCTGCTGACTGCATATATACTACAGTACACGGATCCATTCAGAATAACTAAACACAGCAACATAAACATGACAAATCAAAACATTATGGTGAATGTGTGTGGAAACAACGTGAATGTACGGAAATGTCTGTGCCTGTGCATAAATACAATGTGCCATCAGTGCGTCAAGAGCACTCATACACGCATTATTATAACGGACTCACGTGTGCTTACTGTACGACTCCTGTACGCCACCGCAATCGTCTTTAGCTTGATTGCAGTCTTCATCCATCAAAACTTTACTAGTGAGACTGGTTATCCAGTCGAGAAACCGTAGTTCGCGTCTCATCTGGCCGTACAGCGGTGGGATGTGTTGACAAACCGTTCAGTCTGTACTTCACACAGCGCGACATGTGAGGGCTCGAGCTCTTCAGAGACAATCACAGAATCTGACAGAGCTTGTGTTTTAAAGCCAAACACACTGGAATGAATAATTCACTTAAAACGCAACGCAAGTCTCCGTTCTCTCTGCAATCTCTGATATAATCAGCCTGGTTTCCTTAATATTAGCACTGTTTTGGACAGATTGTTTGAATGCATTCGCTTACTGGATCAATGGACTGAAAACGTTCCCGGAGTTTGGCGGCTTAAAATGATCTAATCGCAAGCAGAGAAGCAAAATTGGGTTAAAGGGTTCAAATTGGGTTAAAGGGTTAACGATGACAGCCCTACTATGAATATAAAATTCAAGAAACTGGAAAACTAGACACGAAGGGTGCTGCAAAAGTTTTTAATTTTCTTACAGTTTGGTTGCACAATCGACCACTTTCACAAACCCTTGCATTTTTATAATATTATTTTATAAATTATTCATAAATTAATGTTCTTAATTAATTCTAAGTCACAAAGATCCTACAAAAGCTTCATTTTCTTTATAAAATAAAATGAATAATAATGCTAAATATATATTTTTTATAATTTTATTTTGCAAGTTAATTATACAAATTACAATATATTTTTATTTCTTGTTAAAAGAAACTTAAAATTTTGGGATAAAACAAGTATCTATGAATATAAAATACAAGTCACTGAAACGTCACGGTTACGTATGGTAACCCTCGTTCCCTGAAGGAGGGAACGGAGATGTCACTTCGGATGACCGACAAATTGGGATCTCGCTTAGAGAGACCAATCTACTTCGAGTGTAAACTAAATGAGCCAATGCACATTGGCATGCGATTATTGCATCCAGCTGCTGCTGATCACAGCGTGAGTATAAGTAGGCAGCAGATGCAGCGCATATTCAGGCTTTCGCTGAGGTGCCGAGCCGGTCACCCAGCCGCTCAACGGTGGTACAGGAGCTGTGGCGACGGGACGTGACGTCTCCATTCCCTCCTTCAGGGAACGAGGGTTACCATACGTAACCGAGACGTTCCCTTTACCGCCGCTGAAGTGCCGTACCACCAGCACGAGAGCCCACGAAGAGCGTGTTTGACTGTAGTTTTTACTCTACGTAGCAGGTCAGGAGCAGAACGATAGAACCGCTCGGCTCCGAAGCGAAAAGCTGAATATGCGCTGCATCTGCTGCCTACTTATACTCGCGCTGTGATCAGCAGCAACTGGATGCAATAATCGCATGCCAATGTGCATTGGCTCGTTTAGTTTACACTTGAAGTAGACTGGTCTCTCTAAGCGAGATCCCAATTTGTCGGTCATCCGACGTGACGTCGGGAGTGACCGACTGAAAGGGAACTGGAAACCACATCTACACCACCAGATGCAAAAGATAAAATCTGTTACATTTCGATTGCATGATCAACCGCTTTCACAAACCCCTGACTTTTCCCTCCACATCCTTCTGATGCAGCAACCACATTGAAATCAATGAATCCACAGCATAAACTCAAGACTAAAACGGACGCGCTGTGGTGTAACACATGACACGACTCTTCACTGCGTTTGTGCGTTTCGTTTGCCACCAGTGCAGTTCTCTCATTTCACAGACACAAATAACATCCATGAGCGTCAGGAAAGAGTTCACCTGGGAGACCCACAGCCCACGGGCTCCTAATTTAGACCGGAGCGGTCCAGATATAGCGTGGGTGCAGATGTCTGTCTGCCTGTGGCCATTCCACACCAGATTGCACAGACCATTACCCTCATAGAGAGATGCTTATCACCCACAAGGGCTATTAACCTATATAGGGCCTGGGAAACAGAGCATGCTGCCGTAGTAATGGCTAAACCTCCTTTACACAAGGATGTGCTTATAAACCGATGCGAGTGAATGAAGGAGAATGGATAGATTGGTGTTTCCAACATCTCCAACAGTGACGCCCATCTTTTCCAGTATTTTTCTCATTCATTTAGTCCACAGGCATCTCAAAAATCTCTTCACTGAGTTAGAAGAAAAACCAACCAACTCTCAGATGAACCAAACTACTAAAATATGTGACCCTGGACCACAAAACCAGTCATAAGGGTCAATTTTTTTCGAAATTGAGATTTATACATCATCTGAAAGCTGAATAGATAAGATTTCCATTGATGTATGGTTTGTTAGGATAGGACAATATTTGGCAGAGATACAACTATTTGAAAATCTTGAATCTGAAAGTGCAAAAAAAAATCTAAATATTGAGAAAATCGCCTTTAAAGTTGTCCAAATTAAGTCCTTAGCAATGCATATTACTAATCAAAAATTAAGTTTTAATATATTTACAGTAGGAAATTTACAACATGATCTTTACTTAATATCCTAATGATTTTTGGCATAAGAGAAAAATCAATCATTTTGACCCATACAATGTATTTTTGGCTATTGCTACAAATATACCCCAGCGACTTAAAGGGGTCATATGATGCTTTTTTAAAGATCATTATTTTGTGTATTTGGTGTAACAGAATATGTTGACATGCTTCAATGTTCAAAAAACATTATTTTTCAAATACTGTAGAACAGCTTGTAACACTCCAAAGAGAAAGGAAAACTTGAAATCGCATCATATGACCCCTTTAAGACTGGTTTTGTGGTCCAGGGTCACATTTTTGATTTCTGAAGGATAAAACGACTAAGGTACATGAATGTGACCCAGTTAACAAAAATATGTTCTAAGAATGTTTTGCTAACGTTCCCATTAAGATCATTAACATTCAATACGTTAAAAAATGTTTTTCTTGGTTACGCGAACGTTAAGGGAATATTCCATTTTAGCATTTTGCAAACATTATGGAAACATTACTTTTGAATGTTCTCTGAACGTTCCGAAACTAGTAGTAACATTTAAAAGATGTTAGTCGAACATTCAACTAAAACGTTTCAAAACAACATTCCATGAACTAATTATTTTAATTTTGAACAAACATTCTATTAATGATACTGAAAGAACGTTTGTTTATAAGTTTAATAGAGCCTTGCAAAAAATTATCCAAATGCTATAGGTAAATAACCAGAAGAATAAGAACTTGCAGTAAACAGTACAATCCATTGTTTATCATTACGACAATACATTAAAATAATATGATAATACCAGTTTGCAATATCAAGCAGCATAATGATCTTTGGTAGGCCTACCGCTAAAAATACCTGGAAGCGAATGACACCGGAAGTCTTGCACATTCACGTTACAAAAAGGCCGTGCCCGTTCTTCACGTCAAAAATAAGGTGGATAAGTTGTTCAACTTGACTTAGACTTAAAGGGTTAGTTCACCCAAAAATGAAAATTCTGTCATTAATTACTCACCCTTGTGTTGTTCGAAACCTGTAAGACCTTCGTTCATCTTCGGAACACAATTTAAGATATTTTTGATGGAATATGAGGGCTCTCTGACCCTCCCATAGACAGCAAGGTAACTACCACGATCAAGGTCCAGAAAAATACCAAGATGATCGACAAAGTAGTCCGTGTGACATCAGTGGTTCAACTGTAAAGTTACAAAGCTTACAAGAATACTTTTTTTGCGCAAAGAAAAAAAAAATGTAGTCTCTACTGCGTCACTGCATCATGACGCGAGCGTGTGGTGGCGCTGACCCAGATCCGGCGTAATGATGTCATCATGCCGGATAACTGTACAGTTGAACCAGTGATGTCACACGGACTACTTTGTCGATCACCTTGGTATTTTTCTGGACCTTAAACATGGTAGTTACCTTGCTGTCTATGGGAGGGTCAGAGAGCCCTCAGATTTCATCAGAAATATCTTAAATTGTGTTCCGAATTGTGTTTGGAACAACATGAGGGTGAGTAATTAATGACAGACTTTTCATTTTTGGGTGAACTAACCCTTTAAGATTCATGTGTGTAGGTGAACTTTCCTTTTCTTATTTTAAAATAGCATGTTGGAACTAGCATTGGCAAGCAGGTTTGGGCCCGGATGTATTTGTTTGGTTAATAATAGCAGTATGCATGGAATACACCAGTCTTACCTTTGGCGTTTTGGTGCATTTCCCCGTTCTTGCATCTTTGATGTAGGTGATGTCCAATAGATCTGTCTCCTGAAAGAGGGAGGGGCAGATTTTATGCCACAGCTCACAAAAACAATTTCATGCTGTTGAACCGAATCAATATTAGGTTAAATATCACAAAAGCCATTCAGATGTCACACGAGGCAACACAGCATGGGAAATGTTGACAGAGAAAACACTGATGGAAAAAATCAAGAATAAATAATTAAACAGACATAAAACGTGACTAACTCACACGCGCAGATCTAGATCAAAGAAATGATCGGAAGACTCTCGTTATACACTGGTAAGGAAATGATGCAGGGCCAGAGCGCCGCATTATTTGCGTCTGCAGTGTGTAATGAACATGCTGATGAATATGCTTTCTGACAGCTGCAGCAGAAACCAAAGCTGATGGCATTCTGCTGGCACGACTGAGCTACAACTGAACTGGAACAAAACAAAGAGGCATTTGCTCCTTATACTCATTTATGCAACACAGCAATGATTGGAAGGTAAAAATAGAACATAATTTTTATGACGGTAAAACCTGAATGTCCTCATATGCTCCACAACATTTGCAACACATGGAAACTTGACACAACGGTGCCCCTGTAATGTGACATCATACTCTAAAAACTAAACCACATTTTCTTAATGCATGCTGTTTTATGAGCTCATAGTAATTGATGGATACATAACTGCACTACATAAATATAAGCCAGGCCATATTTAAGCAATATCACATGAGGAAGTCCTGTTGTTTACGAATATGAGCATCACAAACAGCGTGATTGCGGCATTTCTTTTTTACAACACTTCCATAAACAAGAAGTTAATATCGATTAACTTACATTTTAACCACACTATCACCAGTTACAGTCTGTTTTTTGTTCCATCAGCGAAAAAAGTTCCAGACAAACACAACAGTGTATCTGAGAAAAATGACTGTAGTGGTGTTTTGCTTCGGGATGATCCAGCGAGTCAGTTGAGTGAACAATTCAGTCACTCACTCATAAGAGCAGCTCTTTCTTTTTATTCCTGAATGAATCAGTATGTTTGAACGAATCGGTTGAATTAATGATTCACTGACTCCTGAATGAATCAGTGTTTTGAACGAATCAATTGAATTGAGTCACCCATAAAAAAATAGTCCCTTGCCGCTACCTATTGGCATAACTTTCAGGATGAATTATTTTAAAATCTCCATACTAATACACAGACGAACAGTATGTCTGGAAGAAATAGATATCAGATATAATATGTTTAATTCAATATATATTACTATATCAGCTATATATCTGTGTTATTGTGCATTATTGTAAATTATTGGCCTTAAGAATTGGGGTGCTTAGAGTCAGACTGCAATTATGAATGAACTAGGAACTTGACATGGACTCGGACATTTTGTACAAGAATTTTTCGTACAGACGAATCCACGTCATGTGTAACATGACTCAACTGGTTAAGGACTAGGACTCAACTCGGACTCGACAAGGTGGATTCAGACCCAACACTACTGTCCTTTAAAAAAATCCATATCGGTGATCAAACAACGAACACTATCTATATTTTCTATACTTTCTACATGAGAAATTGACACAAATAACCCATTATATTTAAAGGTCAATCCATTTTCATTATTTCTATAATATATTTCTGTTGATTTCTAGACATTTTGGATGGGTTGGAATCCCCAGCCCTCACTGACACGCTTTTGTGTGCGTGACACACTTCTGAGAAGGCAGCAGACTGCAGGAGAATATACAAATATGCATTGTTGAGCTTTGACCTAAAACACTAACACAGGACAAGAAACACGTCTCCTCTAATATTCACTTGGCCACGAGGTCATTCTCAACTCAACTCAACTCAACTCACATTTACTAACTTTGAAATGAAAACATCCAGAAATGACATTGACGAGAAACCGAACAATGCAAATATTAATTTCTGCATTTTCTGAACACGTGAAAGGTCCCTGCCTGCATGCAATTATGATGCAATGCAATGCAGTTGCTATTTTTTCTATATAGTTTCCCCATTTTATGACTATCTAATATTTATGATAATTGCAAGTGCGTGCCAAGGCTATCTGAATAATGAAAGCATCTCTCACTCAGCCGGTTCATCTATGAAAATCCGCGTATGGTGGCAGGAGCTTCACCAGCGCCATGGCAACAGAGGATGGAGGTGGTCTATGATGGGGAGTTGGGCTAAAGCAATTTGAAGACCGGCACCCTTGAAATCAGCTTGCAGAAGACGTCGCCAGCGAGCTCAGACTCCTGCTTCTGTGCGCACTGAAAATCCATTGAGACTACATGATCAAATATCTGTTGGTTCAGCAGAGCAAACCGCACTCTGTTGACTCTCCATCCACTGAAAAACTCACAAACCTGCTACTATATTCAATAATGGAGCCGGTTGTAAGTGACTGTCATGATTTGCTCGACTCTCACTGGCGACAATCCGGCCTGCAGTGCTGCTAAATATAGAAACTCATGTATTGATTTAAATACATGCTTGGTTTGCATAACAATACATGATGCTATTATATTTCTATTGGCCAGAGGCGCCTGTTCTGTTATTCTGTGCGTATTTTATGGACAGGAAAAACTGTCAGGTTTACTTTCATTGCTTTCATTGGTTGGCAAGTAGATTGTTATAAAAGAAAAAAAAGAGGGTGAAACCTGTCTAGCATGAGTCCAAGCCATATTTCATCCCAAAAAGAAAAGGTAATAAATTATATTTTGTATTAAAAAATGTAAAAAATTAAAACAAAAAAAGTCCCATATAAGGGCCATTAAGATTTTATTGCATTATATATATATATATATATATATATATATATATATACACACACACACACAACTACTAGCATTTTTACAAAAATAAAAAAAATGAAAATGAAAAATGTAAAAATAAAAACGGATTCAAAATATTTATAAAAACTATAATAGTATCTTAATACAAAAAAAAAACAAAAAAAAACACTAGGCAGGATAACAAACACTACCATACATTTTTTAAACTTAACTTATATTTGTTATTCTGCTTTTGTATTTTTCCTATTTTTATTTTAAAAAATTTGCTTAATCACCAATCAATAAATATATATAAATAAAATATAAAAAAATGGGGTAATAAATTCTATTTTGCCCATATATAAGCCCATTTAAGACCATTAATATTTTATTTCCTCATGATATTACTTTAAATTGTGTGACAATTAAGCACATTTTACGTCCTAACTTTTCATATATATATACAGTATATATACACACACACACACACACACACATATTACATATATCATTTTTTTCCCATTATATTTTGAGGTAAAATGTGATCTGGAAAATATTTTTGTTTCAGCCAAAATCAATATCTATGTATTTTGGGAGTCCATCACAATTAGCAACGTTTTATTCAATACCATCTGGTATCTGAAGATTGAGTCACTCAGATGAATAATATTCTGATGTTACTCACTGCTGCTTTCACAAACTGACATGAGAAATGACATGCTAAAGTTTGCTGTAATACACTTGCACTCAACTGAACCATAATTGATTCTCTTATATAAAAGGGCAAGAGGAGAGCAGAGGGTGTTATATGCTGCCAAATCCACATTCAACTCATATGACCTCACTTCCTGTTGAGTTCACACTCAGAGCTGTGATGTCGTCCAGGTCACATTTTACCTTGAATCAAAGTAAAATGAATGAATAAATGAATTTGAAAAATTAATACATTAGACAAATAAATAAATGCATTAGAAAAATTAGAGACAGACAGACAGACAGACAGACAGACCTTAAGCCATTAAAAAATTGTTCATTGAATTAAAATAAAAATATTAATTTGATCTAGTTGCAAGGCAACATTTCTCTTCTCTGTTTTTCTACTTTAACTAAAACAGGAAATGACAAAGGAAAAATATAAAAATAAAAACATTCAAAATATGAATAAAAAATAGAATATTATCTCAATGATACTAAAATAACAGTTTACAAGAAAATACTATTTCAGTCTTTCTACTTCAAAATGTAATTACATGTTTAATTCAGTGTGCAACCTGCCATATCTTTGCAATTATTTCTGAAATGTATTAACAATATCTGCTTGTGTTGTTGTTGTTTTCCCCCCAGTTTAGCTCTTGGAAAATACTAAAAAAAAAATAAATAAATAACAATATTCAAGACCAGTAACATGCATTATGAAAGTGGATAGGAGCAGCTTGATTTCATATATAATTCTGTCTAAAAAATACATAACAGACATTTTAGGTTCATCAAAAGAGGTGAATTAACATAAAAAAATGAACAAGTGCAAAGTATTTTTCAACATTCTTTTACTCAAAATCATTGTCATGGCAATTGAGCACTTATCAGCTCAGTGGCTTTAATTTTCCATCATAAGATATGATTGTGCTTTCTGACGCAGAATAGCAGAATGAACTGATGTTATCTTACCAAACATGCTTGTGATTCATGTCATTGTCTGGCATCCTGTACAGCAATGCTGCATGATTTTAATACAACGTGACATCCTGTTCTCTTCACCCACACTTAACTCCATCAGATCATTTCAACACCATTACTACTGAGCACAATCTATTAGATGCTGTCTATCAGCTCAGCAGCTGCAGGTACCTCAGTCAAGATCAACACTGAATCAATAGTACGGCTTTATTTTCATGTTAAGAATATAAATGCAAACACAAAAAGTGAAGGACAGACTCTGGAACACTTAAAATGAAAAATCATCTATACTTGGATGAAAAATCACTAATTTAAAGTGGGACATCTCTATGAGCCAGACTCTGAGGCGATGTGAGCATTTGGCTGTCGGGGCTCCATCTGGACAAAAGACTCAACCTCATTCCCTCCGGACAGACTTTGGAAAGTGACTTTCGTTCTGATGAGATGTATATTTATAATGTCTCGTTTTAATGCTCAGGACACTTAAGCTTAAGGGTGAAGTGTGTACATTTTAATGTTAAAATAGTTTCAATGTCACTGGCAGGTTAGTCTAGACCTCAGGAAAACCCAAGGACCAGTGTTGTTACCGTTAACTAAAACTAAAAACACTACAAAAATGAAGTAGGTTAATTGAAATGAATTAAATGTTAAATTTAATAAATAAAAACAATAAATTATCATGTTCATTTAAATAAATTAAATAAAATAGAATATTAAAAACGTATTACAGAGATATTTATTTGCAATTAGTTGCAAACACAAAATTTCTCATTTTTATTTAATTTAAATACAAAATGAAGAAATAAAAAAATAAATAAAAATGTATACAACCTAAACAGACATACTTAACCAAAACAACAAAAACACAACAAAATTACTAAAACTTTCAAATGAAAATGAAAATGGAAAATATATAAATAAAAACGAAATTTAATTGATATTAATTAAATAAAACAGAATATTTTAAATTTTAGAGACATATTAAAAAACTTTATCTCAATTAGATGTAAAAATATCTCATTTTCATTTACTTTAAGTACTAAATGAAGAAAAAAAATGAAATAAAAATAAAAACTAAAAGTACATATTTAATGACAATCCAAACAACAAACACAATTACTAAAACTTTAACTAAAATGAAAATAAAATATATATAAATAAAAACTAAACACTAATAAATACTAAGGTGGTATATTGATAATACTACAATAACACTGCAAAAATTGCACACAAATCTGAGAAGCACTTGTGGAAAAACAAAAACCAAATAATCACAAGCTTCAATAAATCTGCATTCTGGTTTGAGAAATTGTACCTTATTCTGATCCGTCCAGTGGAGGAAGTATCCCTGCGGATCGACGCGTAACGTCACTGGAGTCACCGTAGAAGAATCCTGAGCAGAAAAAAAATAAAATTTTTAAGCATAAACACACAGCAGAAATAATATAAAAATGGCTATGGACAACATATTCACAATATGATTTAAAACTTGTTTTATTTCTAGTTGCAAAGGCAACATTTCTCATTCCTGTTTAGTTTAACTTGAAGTACTAAAATAACTAAATGGGACACACTTGCTGTTGTTAGATAACAAGTTTAGACAATATCTAAATACAAGATGTCATTATTTTTGGTCTGTACCGCCATACATTTTAAATGCATTTCCCTTTCATGGGAACTTCGAACTGCGTCCTCTACGGGTCGCTATGGGGAACGCCTCGTCGTGACCCGTGTCTGAAGCATACATTGAAAAAACACCAACTCGTTGGCCGGCGACAGCCATGACGTCACTACCGGTGCGACTATAGTATAAATAGGTGCCGGGAGCACACATCATTCTCTTCTCCGTCTTCATTGACTGTTCTGTTTGAAGCGTGCATTTCCAAGGAAAAAGTAAGAGCTATCTCTATTCATTATGGCGAGCACTAGCAGAGCGTTTAGAAGGTGTGTGCAGCCGTGTCATTGCTATTTGACACCCGATGACACACACGATCTATGCGTTGTCTGTTTGGGCGAAGAGCACGCACGCGATGTCTTCGAGGGGGCAATCTGCGTGCACTGCGAGCGTTTTCCAATGAAAAAGCTCCGTTCTCGTTTGTCTCTCTTTTC